ACATAGCCCTAATATCTAAACCAGGGAAAGATGAAACACAGAACTATAGCTTAACATCAGGAATACTGATTTTTAAAAATCCTGTCAAACAATCTACAGCAATTTATCCAAAAAATTATTCATTATGACCAAGTTGGATTTAAACCAGGGATGCAACTGGTTCAAAATGAGGAAAATAATAAGTAGTTATATTAAAGATGAAAACATCCAAAAACACATCTGTTGAAAAAGCCATTGACAAAGTACAGCACTCATTTATGCTAAAGACACTTCAAGGTATAGGCATAAAGGGACCATTTTTAAAAATATAAAGAGCATCTATCTAAAACCAAAAACAAGCATCATATGTAATGAGGATACATTAAGGCTTTTTCCTATGTAGGAATAAACCAAGGACACCCACTCTCTCTACTATTATTTGATATCGTTTTAGAAATGCTTGAAATAGCAATAAGAGAAAGCAACGGTATAAATAAAGATAGGTAAAGAGGAAATAAAATTATTCCTATTTGCTACTGTCTGTTGTGGTTTCCTTTAAGTTCCAAAGTTCCAGATAAAATCCTATCTTCTACAGAAGCTTTCTCAATTCCAGTGCCTTCCCTCTGTTAATTACTTCTTATTTGTCCTGTATATAGCTTGCTTTGTATATATTTATTTGTATATTGTCTCATTAGATTGAGTTCTTTGAGGGCAGAGACTGTCTTTTCCCTTTATTTTTTTAATCCCCAGATGCTATCACTGTGTTTGACACATAGTAGCTATTTAAGTGTTTATTGATTGATTGAAATCCAGTGCACCTCCTCCAGAAAGCTTTTTCCTTTCTTCCTACTCATTGACTGACTTAAACATCCTTGTATTCCCTAAACTCACATTGTAGATTACTTGTTTTCCCTGATACACTTAACCTTTTACTCTAAGAATTTAGTTGTCATATCGTTACAGAAGTGCAATAACAAGTACCTTTTGATTTATCTAAACCTTTTATCTCTCTCAAGATCAGGCACACCATTTGCTAAATGTTAATAATTTGTTTATGTAAATGTTTAAAACATGCTGATTAATAAACATGTATGAAACATAAGAACTACATAATAAATACTTGTAAAAATTTTTAACATTGTATTAATATGCTATGTACAGATTACTGGAAAGATCAAAAAACTAAATTGTTAAAGAATCTGCAGTAGAATTTTTGAGTCAGAAATCAGATATTACATGACAACACATGAAATTGGGATGCATTTCTAAGACAATGATTACATCAGTTTTTTGATCTATTGAAGTTTACCTAAACTTTAAACACATATGTAAATCGGACAGCTAATTTAAATTTTACATTTGTTTTTGTTCTGCAAATTTGAGTCCTGGTTTTTATATATATTACAACTAGGTTGCATTTAATGCAAATAACGAATCCTGTAAGTGGTTGTATGTCACACTATTCAAAGTCACAATTATGTAAAATATGATAATTGGTTCTAGCCCTGTGGAAATCTGTAGTGCAATTCAAATAGTATGAGCACTTCACCAGATCCATTATTTGTATAAATCAGAACCTACCTATGCACTGAAAAGTGATAACTTTTTCTGTTTTATGACAACTAACTACTGAAATTTTCAAAACTTTACAGTCCTTTGTTTCAGTCATGCTAATTATGCTGTGTATTCACATTGTTGGTGTTAAAACTACATATAGCATTTTTCTTCAAAAAATATGAATTAGAAGGAACGTAAATTCAGAGGTTTCAGAGATATTTAAGTGATTTGCCTAAAGTTACATAGCATAGCTAATCAGATCTGGAATTAAAAAACCCAGGTCTCCTCACTACTGGTTTAGATGCTCAGGTGAATTATGTGTTCTTTGTTAAAGATTTATTTCTTTGATGTTCATTACCAAAAGTTAAATTAGATTGCTTTCTGTCCTGTCAGAGCTTTCTTTCATCCCTTTCTTCTTCTTATAACTTTCCTAAGAATGTTTCTCAACTTTTTGTGTCTTTTATTTTTATACAGACTGAGAGACTATTTTAAAGTTCAACAAATGTATTCCACACTTGAAATCTGCTGCTTTCTTCTACCACCACCTCCTTTAAAGATCTGACTTCTTAAACAAGAGGTAAAGTTACATAGTTAACGTTAAATAAAAATGTACATTTAAAATATATATTTATGTAGATTACCATTCCAATCTAGGACAATTAGGATTTTTATAATGGTTTTTCAACATGATTAAAATAATATCCCTTTTAGTAGTTGCATTTTATAAAATTTCTTTTTGTCTATGCTTTCGTTTCAGGACACTATCCTAGATATCGAACAGTTGTTGAATTTTTACTGACTAAAGAACATAGTGATATTTGACTTTTTACTTCTGGTGCTATTGTGAGCTGTATCAGGTGCTTTTGCAACTCATAATCAGCAAAAGATTTGAGTGCTTGTATGTCATTATTATGTCTTTTAAGTATAAATTTTATTTTGACTTCTTTTGACAAGAATAGATACTAAAATATTAAACGAGGACATAAAGAAATGAGGAAAAATATGTATGTAAGATAAAACAAAAAACCCAAGAGATCTTAAATGATTGTCTCTGTAACTTTATTTACTGATCCTTAATTTCATCTTAAAGGGTGTATATTGCCTTTAAGTAGTAGCTTTAGTAGCCTATCATCCTTGTTTTCTTGACTCTAAAAAAAAAAAATCTTTTACTGTGTGTATACCATTAGTTTGTTGCTACTGTTAACTACATAGTTTTATAGTGATTATAATCTTTGTTTTCTACTTTCTTCATTCTACATCACTTGATGTGAGTTGTCTGATTTTCCTTTGAACTATTCATGATCATTGTTTCTTATGATAGAGTAATCCATTACATTATATATATTGATTTGCCCAATATTAAATGATTTATTTCTATTTTTTTCTATTTTAAATAGTGCTGCTGGTAATATTTCATACATGTATTTTTTCCCCCCTGTCAATAACTACCTTAGCAGGATAGTATCAGTAATAGACCACTTGATCGAGGGATACGCATATATTTGTATCTCTTATTGTAGAATTATATATCACTTTCCAAAAAGGTTAGGTCAACTCATAAACTCAATAGCAGTAGAAGTGTGTATGCCAGCACTGAATTTTGTTTTTTGTGTGTGCGTGTGTGTGTATATAAATTTATTATTCATTTTGAACTTAACTATGAAATGAGGGAAAAAAAAAACATTTCCATGTGCACAGCAGAACACAGAGAGGATTTTAGGGGCAACTAGGTGGCGTAGTAGATAGAGCTCCGGCCTTGGAGTCAAGAGGACCTGAGTTCAAATCCGACTTCAGACACTATCTGTGTGACCCCGGGCAAGTCACTTAACCTCGATTGCCTCATCAAAAAGGAAAAAAAAAAAGAGAGAACATGAGAGGATTCAATATAAAACAATAAATTTCTGTTTCAAGAAAACCTACGTAATAAATATTACACATTATTTTCAAAGATACCTAGCTTTTCTTTGCTTCCTTCAAGGTTTTCTTTTGTTCTCTGCTATAAACTTTTTTTTTTCCTCCCTCTATCCCCCCAGCACTGAATTTTGTTATCTGGAATTATCTTGACCAGTTTGATGTGGATCAGTTGAAATCTGATTTGTTTTAATTTGTATTTTCTGATTATTAAAGATTTTGAACATTTTTTTAACATGAAGATTGATATTTTGTGTTTCAAGTACTGTCTGCTCATATCCTTTTACCATTTAGTTGTAGAATGGTTACTTTGATAATTTGTCCCTTATAATTTTTAGATGTCACTCTTTTATCAGAAACATTTGATGCAATAATGTTCCTGCCAGTTTGTATCTTTCTTTCGTTCTTTTTTGTGTGTGGATACACTACTTTTTATTGGTAGAAACTTTTTACTTTTCCAGTGATAGTATTTATCTGTTTTTAATCTCATTTTTCTCTGAGTCATAGCTTATAAAGAAGTTAGGAAAAATAAAATAAGCCATTGTCTTTTTTAAATAAAACTTAATATATTTATGCTGTTGTTCCCTTTGGAATTTATTGCAGTATATAGTATGAGGTTTTTGTTTTGCCCTTTTTTCATTTTTTAAAAATTATTTAATTTTATTACTGTTGCACCATTTATACAATTACATATAATCTCAGTGAATCCATTGTACTTTTTTTCTTTTCTTTTTCTTTTTTGTTTTGTTTTCCAATGAGTTGTGTGTTGGTGTCTAGACACAGATCGGAAGAGAAACTGGAATTTCAATAAAAACAGATTTTTTTTTTTATTTCCACTGACCAATAAACAGAACTACAGATGCACCCAACCATGGACGTGCATTAACTCATCATGAGAAATCTAGGTTGTCTAAGTAGGAAGAGAGTGTTTGTTAGTCCCAAAAATCTAAGGAGAGAAGGAATGGAGGATTGGCATTGAGAAAAAATGTGGACAGCTAACTGGATACGGTCTGAAAGTTGTCATTCATCCACAGCATTAAAAAAATATCAGAATAAGAAAGGCTGTACATTAAAAAACAAACAAACCAGAATATACTGCTTTAATAAAGATCTGATTGCCTTGGCACAGGCCCTGTGGGGAGAATCAAACCCTATTACAGAAGAAAAGATATTTTGTATATCAGTGGAGTGCATCTAACAGTTCAGGTACAAAGGATGTACTGTACTTTTAGATATCCGTCTTTAAAATCCAGGACTTATTTGTAAAGTTGACTGAAGGTATATTAGATATTTTCCCACTCTCCCTTGATGGGATATCCTTTTTTTGGGGTGCAATACATAGCGAAATTTCAGATTTCAGACAAATTAGTATAGCTGGAGAGGGGGAAGAGAGAGAGAGAGAGAGAGAGAGAGAGAGAGAGAGTCATTTTTAAGTGATTATTATCATAAATTTTTTTTTAACAGGCTGTCCATGTTTCTCTTTCACTGTTGTGGTTTGATCTGAATTAGTGGTCTGAGCCTCAGGAGGTTTAACCTCTTCTGTTGGGACTGCAGATTCCTGGGCCTTAGGGTGCATAGCTAGGGGTTTCCATTGCTGTTGGAGTCTCCTTGGAAGAAGACACAGCTTTCTTGGTACTAGGTTTAGAGTGTGAAGCTGGAGTCAATTCACTTTTAGTTTCTTGGGTGATGGGAGCTATGGAAGCCTCAGGCTTTTTTGCTTCCCCTTCCTCTTTGATCTTGTCATTTACTTTACTAGTTGCTGTGGTTTCTGAAGACTCAGAGACCTTTGCCTCATTGCTAGGTGCTAAAGTCTTAGAAGCATTACTACTGCTGGGGTAGAGGCAAGAGCCTGTTCTAGTTTGGTAACTTTCTGCTGCTGTTCCCCCATCAGGGACAGCCTCTAGCTTCTCAGGCTCTGGTTTTGGAGCCTTTTCTTTGCCGGCTGCAGCATTCTTCTCTGCTTCCTTATCCTCAGTCTTGTTAGCAGTAACTTGGGAATCTTTGTCAGTCTTCTCTTTGTCGTTCTCCTTCACATCTGTGGTCTCTGTCACTGTCTGGGTCTCGTCATTCTCCTTGGGAGTTTCTTCTTCCTCTGCACCAGCTCCTTCAGCCTTCTTGCCTTTATCCTTGGCTTTCTCATCATTTACATTGTACCCGTTCTTTTTGTTAAGCTTGCCTCCCATATTTGAAGTTCTGGATTTATTCTGTTTTCCTCTCCCTCGGTGTGTGTACAGTGCACCTTGGTGTCACCAAGAGAGCCATGGGGAGCCTAGGGTCCACTTGGCTGGGGCTGGGTGGTGTGATATCTCTCCCAGTCTCAAGAGCAAAGACTGGAGCAAGGGGAGCCTATTGGAGCAATGCCACCACCCTGCTGCTGTCTTTGCATTTCTCATTCTCTTTCCCTTCCTCCCTCACCTACCTTCCTGCTTCTGTCTTCCCTCCCTCATTCTTTCCCTCTTCCTCCTGCCTCCCCTCCCCCTCCGCCCCCTTTAAAAATTTTTTTTTTAAAGCTAATTCTTATCCTGTTTTTCAACCAGTTTTTGTGAATAACATTTCCCTGAGTGTTTTGTGATTCTAGGTTTATTGAATGCTAGAATACCGTGCACACTTGAGGGCAGCCAGGTGGCAGTGGGTAGAATACTGGGCTCGAGGTCAGGATGACCTGAATCCAGATTCGTCCTCAGATACTTACTAGCTCAAGTCACCTACACTCTGTTTGCCTCAGGATAATAATTGTACCTACCTTACAAAGTTGCTATGAGAATCAAATGTAATCCTCTTCCCCTCTCCTTCCCATTCCTCTTTGGTTTTAACTTAGTGTTGTCTTGCCTATTATACTGATCTATAAGTGTCTTTCTTGGAAGTATTTCTTGGTGATAACATAAATTTCAATTTTATATTTATATTCATTTAGTTATCCATTTTATTTTTATAGGTGAATTCAATGCATTAATCTTCAAAATTATAGTTGTTAAATTAGGTGGTTTTTAGTATTTTTCTTAGCTGTAATCTTTATTTTGCAAGTATGAGGTCTACCTTATTTCCCTTTTGTCTAATTTTTGTCTTAAATAATCAAAATGAGACTCTCTCACAACCCTAGACACAATTTAGATTTATATCCTTACGATATATCCAGGAAAACTAAAAAACAGTATGGCAGAAACTAGATATAGACCTAGCATCTCACACTTACCTGCCAAGATAAAGTCAAAATGGGTACATGATTTACAACAAAAGGGTTGATACCATAAGTAAATTAAAAGAGCATGGTTTATCTGTTAGATTTATGGATAAGGGAAGAATTCAGGACCAAAGAAGATAAAGAGAGCATTGCAAAATATAAACTAGATAATTTTGATTACATAAAATTAAAAAGTTTTTGCACAGATAAAGCCAATGCATCTCAGATTAGGAGGGAAGCAGAAAACTGGGAAAGAATTTTTACAACCAGTGTCTCTGATAAAGGCCTCATTTCTAAAATATATACAGAACTGAGTCAAATTTATAAGAATACAAGTCATTCTCCAGTTGATAAATGGTCTAAGGATATGAACAGGCAGTTCTTAGAGGAAGAAACTAAAGCAATCTATAGTCATATGAAAAAATGCTCTAAGTCACTATTGATTAGAGAAATGAAAATCAAAACTCTGACCCTTTGACCCAGCAGTAGCACTTTTAGGGCTATATCCCAAAGAGATCATAAAAATGGGAAAAGGACCCACATGTACAAGAATATTTATAGCAGCTGTTTTTGTGGTGGCAAAGAATTGGAAATTGAGGGGATTCCCATCAATTGGGGAATGGCTGAACAAGTTGTGGTATATGAACGTAATGGAATACTATTGTGCTATAAGAAGTGATGAACAGGCTGACTTCAGAAAAACCTGGAAAAACTTGTATGGTCTGATGTTGAGTGAAGTGAGCAGAACCACAAGAACCTTGTACACAGTAACAGCCACACTGTGCGATGACTGACTTTGATAAACTTCTTGATGCTGTTCACAGCAATGCAAGGATCTAAGACAACTCCAAAAGACTCATGATGGAAAATGCTATCCATACCCAGAGAAAGAAGTAAGGAGTCGAATGCAGATGGAAGCACACTATTTGTTCTCCTTATCCTTTGTTGTTTTGTTTTATTGCTTCGTTCTCATGGTTCCATTAGTTCTAGTTGTTCTTTACATCATGACTTGGTTCTAATTTCACATCAGACATTTATTAACTATAATTTTATATCTCCTTCCCTCAGTTTCCTTATCTGTAAAATGGGAATAGTTCCTGTAGTACACAGATTTGTCAGGAGGCTCAAGTTAAGTAACACATGTAAAGCAGTTAAGTGCTACATAGTTTTTATATTTTTAAATTCGTGTTTAAATGAGGATATTGGGCTTCTAGGCTTTGACTTTGATAATAAGTAACCCTGAGCATGTCAGTTAATTTTTTTTTCTGCTCCTGTTTAAGAATAATACTTCATTACCCTACCTCACACAGTTGTTGTGAAGAAAGAATTTTGTCTACCTTAAAACAGTGTACAAATGTGAGCTGCTGTTCTTGTTTATTTTTATGTATAGTTGAATGTTACAAGCATAGCAGCAGCAGAAGGTACCTAATATTGAGTTGATTTATTTAACTGGGACCTATGATTTCAAAGGTGTCAGAAGTTCCTGGTGAGGAAACTCCCTCCATTGTAGATGGTCAGCTGTTCGTCAGTTTACAGTGTGAGCACTGAGAGATTAAGCGACTTGCCTAGAATCACAGTCTTTATTTGTCAGAAGCAGAACATTATTTAAATTGAATTGAGAAATTAATTTACCTAAAAAATTCTTGTTGAGCATATACTATATCCAACACATTATGATAGTCTCTATCAACAGAATTTGAAAATTTTCAGTAGTAATTATATAATAATGCTTTGTTATTCTCATCCTTCTGAATAATCAAGGAAATATTCAGTATGACTTGTGTTAAGATCCTTTTCTAAAATATATTTTTATTTAATTAAATATTTCCCAATTATATATAAAAAAATTGTAACATTCATTTTTTAAAATTTTGGTTCCAAACTTTCTTCTTCCTCTCCCCCTTCCTTGAGAAGGTAAGCAGTTTAATATTGACTATACATATGAAATCATGCAAAACATTTCCATATTAACCAAGTTGTGTTACAACTCTTATAATTTGTACTAGCATTCTATGAAAATTGATGTAGTAACCACATATATTATATATGATAAAGCTTAGCGCAAACATATTCCTTGACCATGCCAAGTTACTGATGAATTTATTGTACCTTAAAAGATGCTTTAGATTACCATACTTTTAGTCCCTGTGAAAGAACTGTGTTTCTTGCCTAGAGATTAGTTATTGAGAGACATTCTGGTAGAATCTACTGTCCTTGTGCTGCCATACAGTCATACCTTGTTTTATTGTGCTTTGCTTTAACAGTTGTTTTGCAGATATTGCATTGTTTTTAATGTGTTATAGTAATCTTTGATATCACTATTGTAATTATTTGGGAGCACCACAAACTCCACCCATATAAGACAGTTGAACTTAATCAATAAATGGTATGTATGGTCTGACTTTTCCACCAACTCACCATTTTCCGATCTCTCTCCCTCTCTTCGGTGAGTATCTTCTATTCTTTCAGACACAGCAGTATTGAAGAATATTATATAAATTTAGTTGATAAAGCTGCAGCAGGGTTTGAGAGGATTGACTAGTTTTGAAAGATGTCCTATTGTGGGTAAAATGCTATCAAGCAGCATTACATGCTACAGAAAAATGTTTTGTGAAAGGAAGAGTCAATTGATGTGGCAAACTTCATTGTTGTCTTATTTTAAGAAATTGCTGTAACAACCCCAACCTTCAGCAACCACTACCCTCATCAGTAAGCAGCCATCAGCATAGAGGCAAGTCTCTCCACTAGCAAAAAGATTATACCTTGTTGAAGGCTCAAGTGATGATTAGCATTTCTTTTGGAAATAAAGTATTTTTTAAAATTAAGGTACCACCGTTTTTTTTTAAAGACATTATACTATTGCATACTTAATAGACTACAGTATAGTGTAAACATAACTTATGTGTACTAGGAAACCAAAAAATTCATGTGACTTGCTTTATTGCAATATTTGCTTTATGGAGGTGGTCTGGAACCAAAACCACAGTGTCTCCGAGGTATGCCTGTACTTAAATTTATCAGTTATCTCTCTGTCACCTGGTGATTTTAATTCCTAGAAGATTCAGGTAACATTTACCATTTTGATCAAAGTAGATTTGTTTATTAAAAGGTTGATTTTATCATGAAATCTTTTTTGCATGGTTCTGTCTACTCAAATTTATTTATTAGCCTTCTGTTCCAAAGTAACAAAATAAATCTCTGTAGATTGTCTTTTCTAAATGTTTTTGTTTAATGTTTAAGAAAGATTGTTTTACATGTGATAACAAAGAAAAACTTGTTAAAAATCTGCTAGCAAGGATATTTGAAACAGTTCTACAATGTTATTTACAATAAAGACATGTAAAATCAAAGGGTGGCAGTGTTAATAATTATAAAATGGTAAGATCCTTATTAGTTACATTATAATTATGACTTCTAGAAAGATGAGTGAAGGAGCAGAAACTAGTGAACCAACTTTAATAAAAGCTACTCCAAAAAAAACCCAAAACTTAATTATTCCTTCTTTTCCACACCTTCCTTCCACCCCCTCCCCCTGAAGTCAAAACTTAAGAAAAAAACCTCAGTTATAGTTCCCTCCCCTGAGGTGGGTGCAAAGGTAAAATAAATGTGGAGGAATATGAAGAAACATAGCAGCAACTATAGTGTCCACAATAGAAAACAGATCTACTTTTCTGAACAGCGACTACTGCAGGCTCTTCTTTCTCTTCACTAGAATAGGGCAGGTGATTTTCAACTGGGAAATCCGTTGTTGTCACCATGGTGTTGGTGTGGCAGAGAATAGTCTTAAATTTAGAAAAATCTTCCTAATAAGATATTGGTTTCATTGGTCAACCTCCTTCAACTCTTTTCCCCACTCTAATCCAGCCCCCCACCAGGCTGCCTATCATTTTAGTGTAGGTCTGACTGTCACTCCCATGCTCAATAATCTTAGATCAACTATAAATTAATCTTAGATCAACTATAAATTCCTCTGTTTTGCATTTAAAGCTCTTCATAGCCTAGCCTCAGT